ATCGCCTCCTCACCCACCCTAATCTCAGGAATCACCAGCCCCCCCCTCCTCGACTCCATCAAGACAATCCAGGGCCACGGCTTGCTGGGGGCACCCAAGGCTGAGCGGGGCCGGAAAAAGATCAAGGCGGAAAACCCTTCGGGACCGCCGGTGCTGGTGGTGCCCTACCCCATCCTGGCCTCAGGGGAGACGGCCAAAGAGGGCAAGACGTACAGGTAGGCACACCCTCGCCCGCTGAGGGGGCTGGGGGCGATGGCGGGGAGCCCCCCCACCCCAGCCCGGTCCCTGCGGGGTTCTCCCCCACACCCTCCAGGTGTAAGGTCTGCCCCTTGACGTTCTTCACCAAGTCGGAGATGCAGATCCACTCCAAGTCGCACACAGAGGCCAAGCCCCACAAGTGCCCCCACTGCTCCAAGTCCTTCGCCAATGCTTCCTACTTGGCCCAGCACCTGCGCATCCACCTGGGCGTCAAACCCTACCACTGCTCCTACTGTGAGAAGTCCTTCCGCCAGCTCTCCCACCTCCAGCAGCACACCCGGTGAGGGCCCCGCTGAGGGGCTGGGGACACTTGTTCCCACAGTCCAGGGAGGGGGGCAGGTGGGCACCCCACACCCACCAATCTCTTCTGACATCCTTTATGGCCCTGCTCTGTTTGTTGGTCCTGCTGCCATCATCTCCACCATCATCCCCCATCATCTCCAGCACCTTCATAGTCTCCATCTCACTCATCACTCCCACTGTGCTCATTGATTTCCCCCCACACTGTCTGCATTTGCCTTTATCATCCCCACCACACTCATAATTTTCAGCACTTCTATGGGCTCCACCATGTTCATCATCTCCACTACCTTCATCATCCCCACCATGCCAATCTGACTCCACAGCCTTCATTATCCCCACTCTGCTCATCCTCCACCACCTTCATAGTCTCTGGTACTTCCATTGTCTCTACTATCTTCTTTCTGACCACATTCACCATCGTGCCACCATGCTCATCATCTCCATTCCCTTTATTGGTCCCACCATCTCAGCCATCTCCTCAGCCATCTCAGCATCTGTGCTTTTTTCCACCGCTTTCTTCATCCTCACCATGCCCCCATGCACCCACCGCCTTTAATGACCCCACTGTGGTCATCTTTCCATCCATCTCTTCCACATTCAGCATCCAAACCACCCTCACAGTTTCCAGCACTTTTCATCCTTTCCCGACCCCATCTCTCAGCCTCGTTTATCCCCTGTCACCTCCTGGGGCACTGATGTTGCTGTGCCCGCTGTAACCCCCCACTCAGATGTGACCCCGTGGATGCCATCAGCACTGTCCCTGGTTGAAGGGTAGGTGACAGTGACCCAATGTGTGTGTTCTCAGAATCCACACCGGTGACAGACCCTACAAGTGCCCGCACCCCGGCTGCGAGAAGGCCTTCACCCAGCTCTCCAATCTCCAGGTCAGTGTGGGGGGACCTGGGGAAAAGGGCACAGGGTCACCATGGTCCCCCCCTGACTCCCTGTGTTCCCTCAGTCCCACCAGCGCCAGCACAACAAGGACAAGCCCTACAAGTGCCCCAACTGCTACCGGGCGTACACAGACTCGGCCTCCCTGCAGATCCACCTGTCGGCACACGCCATCAAGCACGCCAAGGCCTATTGCTGCAGCATGTGTGGCCGTGCCTACACCTCGGTGAGCATGGGGGATGCCCCAAAACCTGCCCCCAGCCCGCAGCCCCCTGCTTACCCCTGTGCCCCCCACAGGAGACCTATCTGATGAAGCACATGTCCAAACACACGGTGGTGGAGCACCTGGTCAGCCAGCACTCGCCGCAGCGGACAGAGTCGCCCGGCATTCCTGTACGGATCTCCCTCATCTAAGCGGGGAGGGGACAGGACCCCCCCAGAACAAGGAGGAGGAAGAGGAGGAGGAAGGAGGAGGAGGACGTGACCCCCAGCACCGCGGGCTGTGCCTGGGCCTTGCTCCTGCCCGGCTCCCGCAGGTTTGGTGACATCCAAAGACGGTTTCAGAGCACTTTGAATCTCTGCGGTTTGGTTTCTTTGGGGGAAGTCAGTAGGGGTGGGGGTGTCCCCCCTGGCAGGCCTGCCCTGCCCCCCATTTTTGGATACAAATATATATATATATATATATATATATTTATTGGCCAAGAACTTGGTGCTGCTAAAGACCAGAAATTCACCCCAAAAACAAACCGTGGATGGAGCAAAAAGCAGCTGGGGGAGGGGGAAAGTCCCACCACCTCCCCCCCTCCAGACTCTGGGCTCAAGCGCCTCCATTTAGGGTTGATTTTTAACCGTTTTGGGGTTTTTTTTGTGTTCATTTGGGGTCCCTTTTAAAGGCGAAGCTGCAGGCAGAGCTGCAACCCCCTGGGGACGGCCCCCCCATTCCGCAGCCCCAGTTTTGGGGGGTTTGGGGGTCCCCCTGCTTTGCCTTGTGCCTGCCTGTACATACCCCCTGTATAGAGCCGGGGGGGACTCCCCCCAAACTCATCTATATTCTGTACTTTTTGGTTCATTTTGGATATTAACTGTGTTATTTTTTATACACTTTTTAAGCCTTAACTCAGCGTTTCTTTGGTTTTTGTTTTTTTTTTTTTTTTCAGGGTGTTTTATTTACCTTTTATTAATTTTTAACCCCCCCTATTATTTTTTACCCCCCTATTATTTTTCCCCTCATCCCCTTATTTTTACCCCCCATTATTTCTCCCGTCGATGTTGTACGATATCAATATTGTAACTTTTTTTGTCAGCATGTTAATACTGTGTAAATACGCCTCTTATACACTTAGCCCCCCTTTTTTCTCCCCTTTCCCCAAATTTTGGGGCTTTTTTATTTTCCTTGCTGCCCAGCCAGGCCAGGCCTCTCTAGCGTTAGTTGGTACCTTGTTAAAAAAGGGGAAAAATAGAAAAAAAAAAAAGAAAAAAGAGGAGAAAATGGACAAAAAGTTGTCCCTCTCCCTGTTGTTTCCACCCCCCGTCCTGCATTGTGATTCCTGGAGAAGCTGGGGGGGCACAGCCTCACAGTGTGGAAAAGGAGTGAAACTCCCCCAGCCCAGCCCCTTTCCAAAAAAAGAGAATAAAACAGAACAAAAAAATTACCAAAATAGGAATTAATGAAATTGGGGGGTTATGGTTGGGGAGGAAGGGAAATATGCTGGGATGAGACTTTCCCGTGGGGACATCTGGGGACACAGGTGGGGGGCCTGGTTCCTGTGGGGCTGCAGGAGGGGAGGATGGAACTGTGGCTCATCCTCAGGTGTGTTGTCCCCAGTTTCCCCAGGGAAGGGGGTGGCACAGTGCCCAAAGACTGGCACACACTGGTTACTGGTGTCTCAGGGTGAAGGTGGTGGCTCCTGGTCCTGGTGGGGGGTGTGAGTGACCCACAGCTGGGGACACCAGCTCTAGGGACAGTCCACTGTGGCCACCACTGCTGGGGACATCTCACTGTGGCCTGGGACACTTCACCATGACCACAAACTCAGGTGAGACCTCAGTGTGGCCTCCAACCCCAGGGAGAGCTCAGTGTTGCCACGTGGGGACCCCCAGGAACCTGTCACCACCTCCAGGGACTCGCTCCATGGTGGCCACAGCTCTGGGTCATCACACTGTAGCCACCAGCCTCGGGGACATGTCACAGTGGGTACCATCTCCATGGCCACCAGCTCTGGGGACACCTGAAATACAGATGCTACATCCAAGGACCCCTCACCAGGCCCATCAGCTCCAGGGATGTGTCACCCCCACCCCTGAGACCATCTCCAGGGACATGCCACCATGTCCCCCTCCCTACCTAACCTACTTTGGGACCCTGTGTCCCCCTAAGCAGTGGGACTTGGGGGTCACCTGGAGGTGTGAGTGTCTCACCACAGGCTCCTGGGAGGGGAACATCACTGCCACCTCCCAATTTGGGGGGCAGCAGGGATGCCCAGGGTCACACAGGTAACCCTGTCCCCATTGCCCACACCAAGTCCCACACCCAGGGTAGCACCTGGGGACATCCCCAAGTTGCTGCCGCAGTTTACATGAGAAGAAATTGGGGGGTGGGAGTGAAAAAAACTGGGAGGGTCCCAGGTTTTTGGGTTTTTTTTCAGTGTTTATTAAAAACAAAAACAAAAAACAGGAAAAGGGGTGGGGCCATGTGTTTTTTTCAATTTTTTTTTCCTTTTCTTTTCTTAAAAAGATCGTGCTGGCTGAGGGGTGAGTTGGGGGGGTCCTTACCTGCCTGGGAGGGGCCCCCCACCATCCTCTGCTAAGGTGCCCCCAAAACAGCCCAGTGTGTGTGGGTGTGTGTGAACGGGGGGTGACGCCTCCTCTGCGCCCCCACCTCTCCCTGACCCTCTTTGGGGGGGGGAAGTCCAAGCTTCCCTGGGGGCCCCAAAACCCACCTGGGGGAGGGAGCACATGTTAAGGCAACCGTCCTGCTTGGCTCCGCTGACTTGGGAGGGACATGGGGGGACACGTGGGGACTCCCCCTCCCTGCTGGAAAAGGGGGGGTGACCCCCCCAAACTGGGGTGGGACTCTAGAGCTACGGGCTATTTACACCCCCTGGGGGGGCAAGGGGGGGGGCAGGGTGTGCTCACAAGTGTCTTCCCCCCCTTGCCCCCTCCCTGGGGCCGCGTGGGGGGTCAGGGGTCCTGCAGGGCTCCCCGAAGGACCAGGGATCTCGCAGGGGGAATGGGGTCCTGTGGCCACCCCCCTCAGGAGTCCTTGAGCATGTTGATGCGGGCGTAGATCTTGAGTGCAGGGCCCAGCTTGATGTTCATGGTGCTCATGAGATGATCCTCCTTGAGCAGCAGCAGCGCCTGCCCATCGATCTCCTGCGCCCGGAACTCCTCCGCAATCTCCTGGCAGCCTGTGGGGACAGGCAGCATCAGCAAACCCTCTCAGATCACCAGAAAATACAGTTAGGGGCTTCTCTGTGCATAAATCCCCTGAAAAATGTATTTAGGGAATTATCATATGTAAATCCCCTCCTTCAATTATCCTTTAGGTTTATCTGAGTAAATCCCACCCCCCCCGCCCCAAAATGTTCATGTGTTTGTGAGCAGACTCTCCTTCATTTATGGGTTATCTGTGAGTAAATCATCCCCAAAAATATATGTATGGGGTTATCTGTGTGTAAATCCTACTCAAAAATATATTTAGGAGTTTCTCTGTGAATAAATCTCCCCACAAATACACAATTCTGGGGTTATCCTAGAGTAGATCCCTACTTGAACATGTCCTGAGGGACATAAGCCTTCCCAAAACCAAACTTCTGGGCATCCATGGGCATGGACAATCCCTCCCTGTCCATCCCAGGACATTCCTCACCCGGCAGCGAGCGGATGAACTCGTAAACATCCTCCACGTTCCACTTGCTGGGCTCACTGGGCAGGAAGCGGTGGCTGAGGCCGGGCAGGTCGCGGCCGTGCACTTCCGGCAGTTCCATGTCCCGCAGCTCCAGGTCCCTCTCTCCCTGTCGGCGCCGGGACGTGGAGGAGCTGGCGGAGATGGGCGACAGTGGCTCCTCGTAGCTGGAGTTGTCAGAGCAGCGGCTGGAATCCTCCTGGCTGTGGTTGAGCTGCAATGACGCCGTCACCGACCCCGCTGGGACAGAACCCGGGGGCTGCGGGGGCAGCGCTGGCCTCAGCACTTGCCCCATGTCCCCAGAATTCAGGGACAAACCCCAGCCTCAGTGCCCATCCCACATTCCCAAAGCTCAGGGACAAACCCCAGGCCTAGCCCCCACCCAATGTCCCCCCAACTCAGGCCAAAGCCTGGTGTCAGCACCCACCCTGTGTCCCCAAAATTCAGGGACAAACCCAAGCCCCACATTCCCAAAACTAGGAACAAATTCCAGCCTCAAGCCCCACCCAACTGGAGACAAACCCTGGCCTCAGTTCTCATGTCCAGCTGGGGACAAACTTCTTTCCCCCTCACCTGTTTCTTGCTGTCCTTGCTCAGAGGAGGCAGGGTCCCTTTGCAGCTGCGGCGCCGCCCGTGGGGGGGCCCTCCTGGCTTCTGGAGTTTGCTGCGATCTGGGTGGAACAATCCCACCCTCTTCGTGCAGCCCACATTGTACCTGCCACAGAACCATAGCTCATGAAGAAGTCCCCACTCTGCTGGGGGACTTTGGGGGATACCTCTACCCCACCAGAGGGGGAGGGTGGATTTTGGGGTTACTCCCACCCTAGCAGGTAGATTTTGGGGTTACCTTTCCACCACTAGGTGGATTTTTTGGGGTTACCTCTCCCATGCTGAATGGATTTTCAGGTTATCTTTACCCTGACAGGTGGATTTCTGGGGTTACCTCTACTCTTGTGTGAATTTTGGGGTTACTCCCACCACCCCAGGTGGATTTTTGGGGTTACCTCTACCCCACCAAGGAGGGAATGGGTCGGTTTTAGGGGTTACCTCTTGGCACAGGCCATGGAGCAGAAGCGCTTGGAGCGCTTGAACTTGTAGGCGAAGTCAACGCGGCCACACAGCTCACACTTCAACTTGGGGGGGTTCCCCTCCTCTTTGGATTCTGGGGGGCGTGGAGGGACACCCAGAGAGAGAAACCAGCCAGCTCAGCCGAGGGACTCCAGGTGAAATCCCAGGGGGCTCCCAGGGGGCTGGGTGGGCCGGGGGCCTGGGCGCTACCTTGCAGGTACGGCTCCTCCATGTCCGAGTCGGTGGTGGTGGTGTTGTCCTGTGGCGGGAGCTTGTCCGGCAGCAGCTCCTGCGCATACTGCTTGTGCAGGGCCCCCACCAGCAGCGAGGAGCGGCCCACCTGTGCAACACACCTGGCTGCACCTGTGCCCCTGCACCACATGGACTCCTCCCTGTGGCCATGGGGCTGGCAGGGACCATCTCAACCCCCACATCCAGGCATGAGGGTAAGGAGAGGGGGATGTGTTACCAGGTACAGCTCTGCACCTTCCTGGGTGATGGTGACATGGGTGTCGATTTGGAGTCTAACTACTCTTTAAGTGACCCATTCCTGACCCCTAAATCCAGAAGCGAGGATAAGGAGAGGAGGGTACGTGACCAGGAATGATTCTACCCCTTCCTGAATGCTGAAGTGCTCCATAACAAGGGCAAGGGTTTGGGGGTTCAGAGTTGTCAGTGACCCACTCCCAATCCCTCAGCTCCAGGAAGGACAACAGGTATATTACCAGGAACAGTTCTCTCTGTGATGATGGAAATGCTCAATAATGTGGGTGAGGATTTGGGGGCTCATGATTGTCTGGGCACCCCATTCCCAAAGCCCCAAATGCAGCAGCCCTCTTCCCAATTTCCCACATCCAGGAACAAGGACAGGTAGAGGAGGATACATTACTGGGAATGGCTCAGGCCCTTCCTGCAGAATAAGGAACTCAAAAATACAAGGATTTGGGGATTCACAAGGGCCTGGATGCCCCATTCGCAGTATCCCTCTGCCCCAGAAATAGGGGTAAGGACAGGGGTGATACCATACCAGGAACATTTTTCCCCTACTGTCAGTCATGAAGCCCTCCACACATGGGTGGAGGATTTGGGGTGGGGGGTGTGTGTGGCATGATTGGTTGGATGCCCCATTCCCAAACCCCCCAAATTCAGGGGTAAGGATGCAGAGAAAGAGATACATTACTGGGAATGGTTCTGCACCTTCCTGGATGGCATCCTTGGTGAGATGGGTGAGGACCTGAGGGTTCACGATGGTGGGTGACACATTCCCAACCTCCCAAATCCAGGAACAAGGGTATGGACATCGGGATACCTTACTGGGAAGGGCTCAGCCCCTTCCCGAATGACTAAATGCTCAATAACACGTGTAATGGTGTAGAGCCCCGAATCTGGGATAAAACTACAGACTGTGGGATTATCGGCAACAGTTCAGCCCGTTCCTGAATGATGAAGCAGGGGAGGATTTGGGGGTTCAAGCCCGACTGTACACCACATTCCCGACCCTCCAAATGCATGATCCTTCTCAGCGCCCCCAAGCCCCGGCTCTGGAGAGTGGGATACATTACCGGGAAGGGCTCGGCGCCCTCCTGGATGACGAAGCCCTCGATGACGTGCGTGAGGATCTGGGGTTTCACGATGGCCTGGGGAGGTTTGTTCTCACCATTGTGGGGGGCGGCGCCGGCGACGGTGGCGGCAGCGCTGCCGGAGCCCGAGGTCATCCCGGGAATGCGGGGCTGCGCATGGAGGCGCTCGGGGGGCTCTGGGGACAGCGGGGGACAGCGGGGTGAGGGGCGGGGGGCTCCGGGGACAGCGGGGAGA